AGACAATCTAAAAAGGAAGTCTGATTAGCGGCAGTTACTAGAAATGAAGGGAGAATTCTGGAGAGGAGAGAGACAGAGAAGGAAGTCCCTTAATTTTCTGTGTCGTTAAATATACAAGTTCAGGCTGACACGTGAGCCAATATAAGCACAGGACTGTCTTGAAGCAGTACAACAAGGAGCTAAATAATTGAATTAAGATTTAAACCACCAACCACAGAAGGAAAGGCAGAGCATGCACAACCTCCCAACTGGGCTAAATGCCTGCTAAGACAAAAAACCAAAAACAAAAACAGCATGATGGATGTCACAGAACACAGAATCTATACAACACAACATTAAATGTCTAAGATAAAATCCAAAAGTACTCAACATGCAAAGAAGCAGGAAAATGAATTCAATTTTCTAGAATAAAGATAATCAGTAGACGCCAGCTTCAAATTCATTTGACATTGGAATTGTTTGATAAGAATTTTTTTAGTAGCCACAATAACTATACTCAATGAGATTTAAAAATATATATGTAAAATGAATTAAAAGGCAGGAAATCTCAGCAGAGATACATAAATGGAGAACCAAATAGAAATTTTTGAAATAAGTCTATATTTTAAAAATTTACAGAATGAATAGGATAAAGGAAAGAATAAAATTAAAACTATATCAATTAAATTATTCATCTAAAATATAGGAAGACAGTTTGAAAAAATAAACAGAAACTAGGGACATGTGGGACAATATCAAATATATCAAAAACTATAACATACATATATTTGGAATCCCAGTAGAAAAGGAAAGAAATTGAACATAATATTAAAGAAAATGCAGCTGAAATCTCAGATTTGGTGAAAAATGTACATTTACAGGTTTGAGAAGTTCAGTGAATTATACACAGCATAAATTCAAAGAAAACCATGCCAAAAAGATAATCAGATGACTAAATATCAAAGATAAAGATAAAATCTTGATTGTAGACAGAGAAAAATGCTACAGTATTTATAAAACAGTAATCTGGATGACTAGAAACTTTTCTCAGAAACCACAGGCACAACAAGACAGTGGAACATTTTTAAAGTAAGGGGAAAATTTTTACAGAAAGGGAAAACAATTATCAAACTTAGTTTTTATATTGAATAAAAATATCCTTTAAAAATGAATGCAAAGTTTCTTTTAAAAAATTTAAGCCAAGCAAAATGTGGAGACTAATTGTCAGAAAACATTGCAAGAGATTCTAAAGAAGTTGCTGTTCGCGACCAGCCTGGCCAACATGGTGTAACCTGTCTCTATTAAAAACAAAAAATGTTCTGGGTGTGGTGGCGTGTGCCTGTAATCCCAGCTACTCAGGAGGCGGAGCCAGGAGAATTGCTTGAACCTGGGAGATGGAGGTTACTGTGAACCGAGATTGTGCCACTGCACTTCAGCCTGGGCAACAAGAGTGAAACTCTGTCAAAAAAAAAAGAAGAAAGAAAGAAAAAGAAAGAAAGAAAAAGAAAGAAAGAAAGAAAGAAAGAAAGAAAGAAAGAAGGAAGGAAGGAAGGAAGGAAGGAAGGAAGGAAGGGAAGAAAGAAAGAAGATCATCATCTTAGGCTAAAGGGAAATAAAACTAGAAATAATGGGGATTATCAGAAAAAAAAATTAAGAACAAGTGTAGATGGCAAATATCTGGGGAAAAATTTGAAAGACTGCATTTTTCTGTTAAAGTTATCTAAAATATAAGTATTTAATAAATCCCACAATTTTGTGGGATTTTAAAAATATACATTGATATAATGCCTATATATCCATCCTATAAATGATTGGACATTTATGGGATATAACTGAAAATCTAGGACAACCATCTGATAAATGATTGAAGGGGTGGACATATAAATATACCTATTGATTTCAAGATTCACATTTTCTGTGGAGAGACAGAGTATCAGTTTTAAGTAGGCCATGAAAGGTTAAGAATGTATATTGTAACCTCTAGATCAGCCTTTTAAACAATACAAGAATGTATTTCTTCTTCTTCTTCTTCTTCTTCTTCTCCTCCTTTTTTTTTTTTTTTTTTTTTTGAGACACAATTTTGCTCTTGTTACCCAGGCTGGAGTGCAATGGCATGATCTTGGCTCACCACAACCTCCGCCTCCTGGGTTCAGGCAATTTTCCTGCCTCAGCCTCCTGAATAGCTGGGACTACAGGTGCACACCACCATACCCAGCTAATTTTCTTTGTATTTTTTTTTTAGTAGAGACGGGGTTTCACCATGTTGACCAGGATGGTCTTGATCTCTTGACCTTGTGATCCACCCGCCTCCACCTCCCAAAGTGCTGGGATTACAGGTGTGAGTCACCATGCCCAGCCCACCAGAATGTATTTCTAAAAAGAAAATAGGTACATTAAGATGGAATACTAAAAATATTCAAATAATCCAAAAGAGAAAAAGAAAAACAAATGAACAAAAAACAGTGGAGCAAATGGAAAATAAAATTTTTTAAAATTCAACCATATTAATAATTACCTTAACTATTAACAGTATAAGAATTTTAACTGAAGGAAGAGATTATCAAAATAGATTTTAAAAAGTAAGACCAGAGATATGTTGCTTACAAGAAACTGACTTGAAAAATAAAGACACAAATAGGTTGAAAGTAAAAAGATGGAAAAAGATATATTATTTAAACAGTAAACATAAGCCAGCTGAAAAGGTTACATTACTATTGGATTAATAATCTTTAAGACAAACAATATTATTAGACATGAATAAGGTATTATAATGAAAGGGACAATTTCAGGAAGATATTAATGTGTGTACATTTTTTACTAGGGTCTCAAAATATGTGAAGCAAAAATTTGTGGTATAAAAGGAGAAATAGAATAATTCCACAATCGTGGTAAAAAAATTTTAACATTCCTTTCTCAGCCATTTGATAAAATGAGATAAAAGCACAAAAAATTTGAACAACACTCTCAACTTTCTTGACTTAATTAATTGATATTTATAGACTATTATGAAACTGTAGAATATGCATTATTTTCAAGAGCACATTATATGTCACCAAGACAGACCATATGCCAGGCCATAAAACAAGTGCTGATAAATCTGAAAGGATTGAAATAATATTATGTTCTCCAACCACAAAGTAATTAAATTATAAGCGAGTACCAATAAGATATTTAGGAAAATCTCAAATACTTGAGAGTTAACAACTTTTTTTTTTTTTTTTGAGACGAAGTTTCGCTCTTGTTACCCAGGCTGGAGTGCAATGGCGCGATCTCGGCTCACCGCAACCTCTGCCTCCTGGGTTCGGGCAATTCTCCTGCCTCAGCCTCCTGAGTAGCTAGGATTACAGGCACGTGCCACCATGCCCAGCTAACTTTTTGTATTTTTAGTAGAGACGGGGTTTCACCATGTTGACCAGGGTGGTCTCGATCTCTTGACCTCGTGATCCACTCACCTCGGCCTCCCAAAGTGCTGGGATTACAGGCTTGAGCCACCACGCCCTGCCCAACAATGTATTTTAAAACAACGTGTTGAAGAAAAAAGGAGTATTAAAAATTATTTGGCACTGAATGAAATACTAAAAAATGTACAAGTAATCTAGAATAATGCTGGAAGGGAAAATAAAAAAGTAAAAATCAGAGGTAAACAAGTAACAAAAATGAGATGGAAGGCCTAAATCTAACCATATCAATGAGGACAATATTTGTGAAACATAGCTAAATGAGCATGGAGGAGAACTGCTAGCTTTTTTTTTTTTTGAGACAGCGTCTCACTCTGTCGCCAGGCTGGAGTGCAGTGGCGCGATCTCAGCTCACTGCAACCTCCACCTCCCAGGTTCAAGCAATTCTCCTGCCTTAGTCTCCTAAGTAGCTGGGACTACAGGCGCGCGCCACCATGCCCAGTTAATTTTTGTATTTTTAGTAGAGACGGGCTTTCACCATATTGGCCAGGGTGGTCTTGATCTCTTGACCTCGTGATCCACCCGGCTCAGCCTCCCAAAGTGCTGGGATTACAGGCGTGAGCCACCGCGCCCGGCCAACTGATAGCTTTTAATACTTATGTGCAGAAGAATGAAACTAGACACCTATCTCTCACCATATAAAAAAATAATCTCAAAATGATTAAAGCCTTCAATGTAAGACCTGAAACTATAAAACTACTGGAAAAAGCAAACAAACAAACAAAGGGAAAACACTCCAGGACATTTATCTAGGCAAAAATTTTGTGAATGAGGCATTAAAAGCATAGGCCACAAAAGCAAAAATAGACAAATGGGATTTCATCAAACTAAAAAGTTTCTGCACAGCAAAGGAAACAACAGAATAGAGACAAATTATGAATCTGCCAAATGATTAATATACAGGATATACAAGGAACTCAATAGCAAAAACCAAATAAAAACAATCGTTAAAAATGGACAAAAATCTGAATACACATTTCTCAAAAGAAGACATGCACATGACCAACCAGTATATGAAAAACTTCTCAACATCACTAATTATCAGAGAAATGCAAGCCCAAACCACAATGAGATATCACATCACTCCAGTTAGAACAGCTGTAATGAAAAGGACAAAAAATAACAAATGCGGGTAAGGATCCAAATAAAAAGGAACTATTGAGAATCTAAATTAGTATAGCCACTATTGAAAAGAGTATGAAGGTTTCTCAAAAAACTACAAATAGGCCAGGTACGGTGGCTCATTCCTGTAATCCCAGCACTTTGGGAGGCCACAGCGGGGGGATCACCAGAGGTCAGGAGTTTGAGACCAGCCTGGACAACATGGTGAAACCCCATCTCTACTAAGAATACAAAAATTAGCCGGGCGGGGTGGTGGGTGACTGTAATCCCAGCTACTCAAGAGGCTGAGGCTGGAGAATCGCTTGAACCTGGGAGGCTGAGGTTGGAGAGAGCTGAGATCGTGGCCACTGCACTGCACTCCAGACTGAGTGAAGATAGGGAAACTCTGTTAAAAAAAAAAAAAAAAAAAAAAAAAAAAAAAGCTATTTCTCGTCTTGGAAGATGATGGGTGAAAAAGTTGAGAAGACAGATACTAAGGAGAAGAAACCCAAAGCCAAGAAGGCTGATGCTGGTGGCAATCTCAAAAAGGGTAACCTCAAGGCTAAAAAGCCCAAGAAGGGGGAGCCCCACTGCAGCTGCAATCCTGTCCTTGTCAGAAGAATTGGCAGGTATTCGCGATCTGTCATGTATTCCAGAAAGCCCATATACAAGAGGAATTACTCAGCTGTTAAATCCAAGGTTGAAAGGAAAAAGAAGGTTCTTGCAACTGTTACAAAACCAGTTCCTGGTGGTGACAGGAATGGCAGTACCTGGGTGGTTAAACTTCACAAAATGCCTACGTATTATCTTACTGAAGATGTGCCTCGAAAGCTGTTGACCAGAGCAAAAAACCCTTCAGTCAGCATGTGAGAAAACTGGGAGCCAGCATTACCCCTGGGACCATTCTGATCATCCTCACCGGATGCTGGTAAGAGGGTAATTTTCCTGAAGCAGCTGGCTAGTGGCTTGTTACTCGTGACTGGACCTCTGGTCCTCAATTGAATTCCTCTACAAAGAACACACCAGAAATTTGTCATTGCCACCTCAAATTTTGATACCAAAATTGATATCAGAGATGTAAAAATCCCAAAACATCTCACTGATGCTTACTTCAAGAAGAAAAACCTGCAGAAGCCCAAACATCAGGAAGGTGAGATCTTCCACACAGAAAAAGAGAAATATGAGATTACAGAGCAGCACAAGATTGATCAGAAAGCTGTGGACTCACAAATTTTACCAAAAATCAAACCTCAGCTCCTGGGCTACCTGCAGTCTGTATTTGCCCTGATGAATGGAATTTGTCCTCACAAATTGGTGTTCTAAATGTCTTAAGAACCTAACTAAATAGCTGACTACAAAAAAAAAAAAAAAAAAAAAAAAAAAAAAAAAAAAAAACTACAAATTGAACTGCCACATGATCCAGTAATCCCACTCCCGGGTATTTATTCAAAGGAAAGGAAAACAGCGTGTTGAAGAGACGTCTGCACTTCCACGGTCATTGCATCATTATTCACAATAGCCAAGATGCAGAAATTAACCTAAATGTTTATCAATAGATAAATGGATACATACACAATTGAGTACTCTTTGGCCATTAAAAAAAATGAATTCCTGCCATTTTTGACAACATAGATGCACCTAGAGGACGTGATGTTATGTTAAATAAACCAGGCACAGAGAAACAAATAACATATGATTTACGATCTAAAAAAGTTGAACTCATGCAAGTAGAGTAGAAGGGTGGTTAACAGAGGCCAGGGTGCAGGGGAGAAGGGGAAAAGGGAGATGTTGGTCAGTTATATAGGAGAAATAATTTCTGGTGTTCTATTGCACAGTGGGGTTACTATAGTTGAGAATGACATGTAGTGTATTTCAAAATAGCAATAAGACAGAATTTTGAATGTTCTCATCACAAAGAAATTGTAAATGTTCGAGGTGATGGATATGCCAATTACTCTGATTTGATCACTACACCATGTATGCATGTATCAAAACACCACATTGTATCCCATAATTATTTACAATTATTTTTGTCAATTAAAAATAACAAAAAAGGAAGCAAGAAAAATAGGAGCAGAGAAGACACAATGCATTCATTTTCTATTGTTGTGTAACAAATTACCATAAAATTACAACAGCGTACATTCATTATCTCACAATGCCCAGGGTCGAAAGTCTGGAACAGTTTCAACTGGGGCCTTTGCTCAAGCTCTTGCAAGGCTGAAATCAAGGTGTCAGCTGTCTGTTTCCTCATGTGGAGGCTTAACTAGGGAAAGATCCACTGCCAACTTCATTTTATTTCAGTCGTATGATATATCCTCTTTCTCTTGCTACCTGTTGACTGGGGATCACTCTTAGCTCTTAGAGGCTGCTAATTTTCTTAAGCAGCTCACAACATGGCACTTTGCTTCTTCTTTGAGGCTAGTGGGAAAATCCCTCTGAATCCCAAAGAAAACCATGTTTTTGGTAGAGTTTTCTTTCTTTGATTTTTTTCTTTTGGATCCTTTCCCCTCATTTTAATGGCTTACCTGATTAGGTAGCCTGGGATAATGTCCCTTTTGATTAACTCAAAGACAAACAATTAGCAACCTAATCGTGAGAGTGATGTTCTATCATAGTCACTAGTCTTGATCATCCTCAAGGAGAGGAAACAATACAAGGATGTGGGTAGTTACAGGCAAGAATCTTGGAAGCCATCTTAGAATTCTGTCGACCACACACAAAATAAGGAGTGAGGTGGTAATAACAGCAGAAAGAAACAATATTAAAAAAACAGAAAAAATAGAGTCAATTAACAGATGAAGTGTGGTTCTTTGAAAAGATCAACAAAATTGAAAACTAAAGAGATCAAGAAGAAAGAAGAACACATACATAAGCAATATTAGGATTGAAAAGAGTTAGCACTTTAGATACTTTGGACATTAAAAGGATAAAAGTATTATATAAATTTTTTTTGCTAACAAATTTGACAACTAGATGAAATGGACAAATTCCTTTAAAAATACAACTTACCAAAATTTATACACACACACACACACCATAAATAGTATATATCTATTAAGAGCTTAAATTTCTTATAAAAAAACTTTATCTCCACTTATAATACCATACAATATGAAATAATTAAGAATAGATTTAATAATAGATATTTTAAAAGAAAATTAATGATCTAATAAAATGAAAAGTTATATAAAGTTAATGGACTGAAAGTCTCAGTGTTGTTAAGGTAATAATTCTCCCCAAATTGGTCTAGAGATTCAGTGCAATCCTCACTGAAATTCTTTTTTGAATAAATCAAAAAGCCCACATAAAAAGGTAATCAGAAAGGCAAAAACCTTGATTAACCAAAATGGTTTTGAAAAATCAAAGAAGAAATTTGATGGGCTTACAGTAACTGATTTCAAGCCTTACTGTAAAGCAATAGTAATCAAGAAAGGGTAGTTTTTGGCATAAGGATATATTCTTACCATCAATTCCAAAATAAGATAAATGGAACAGAGTAGTCCAGAAGTAGACCCACACTTATATAGAAAGTTGGTTGTTGACAACAATGAAAAGGTAACTCAAAGGAAAAAAAAGCAGGAGGTCTTCAAAACAGAGTGTTAAGATCATTGGATATTCGTGTGGAAAACATCAATCCTGACCTCATGCCATGATAAAATTTACTTAGGATGCCTTACCTATCTAAACACAAGAGCTAAAAATATTAGATATCTAGAAGAAAACGTATGAGAGAATCTTTATGATATTTGGTCAGAGAAATAGTTTTAAACAGGATACACAAAGCATGAACTATAAGAAAAAAATGATAAATTTCATCAAATGAAAAAATTTAGAATTAAAAATTGCAGTTAAGAAAATGTAAAGGAAAGTCACAAACTGGCAGAAAATATTTGGCAGCCATGTAGCTGACAAAGTTGTATTGTATTGTAAATTTTAAAACCTGTGTATTTTCCTTCTTCCTCAACAATCCTACAAACAGGCTGAGAGCATCCCGCCCAGGCAACCTGGTGCACCAGTGTGGTAAGATGGGGGCCCCTGCCACAAGTTTCCTTTTCCAACATCCCCTGACCACAACCTAGTAACATTTCAACACACCAGTAAAATTCTTTTTGTGTATCCCTTTGCTTGTGGAGCTCAACCTTAGCCCCAGGAAAGGCACTTACCCTCTGCTTGCTCTCTGCTCCCCACTTGCTTGGCTGAGCCTTTTTCCTTGGTCCACATCACTCCCTCTGAGCGTGCAGTGATTCTGTTCCTTTAGGTCCTTGAGTATAACAAACTTGTTTTTTCCTTGGCCTCCTCTGTGTCCCCTGTGGTGATTGCGCCAGACTGACCATCACCAAAAATAACTCCTGTGACCACATACTAAAAAGACAAATAATCCCAATTAACAAGAGGCAAAATAAGGTTTATTCTGTAAATAGTCTGGAATGACTGGGTGCTTATAAGATAAACAAATCAACATTTTTTTCTCACACTATACACAACATGAAAAAAAATCACTCTAAGTGGATTATAGATTTAAGTGTGAAAGTAAAAATATAATATTTATAGAAAACACAGAAAATACTTTTTAATGTTTTTAATTAATATATCATAGTTGTACATTTTGGGGGTACATGTAATATTTAATACATGCATACACTGTGTAATAATCAAATTAGCATGATTGAGATATCCATCACCTCAAACATTTATCTTGCTTCATGTTGGGAACATATTTCTTCTGGATATATTAAAATATACATTATTTTATTTAAAAATATATAATTCATTATTTATTTTAACTAAAATTTTCCTACTTTGCTATTGAATACTGGGATTTATTCTTTCTAGCTAACTGTATTTTTGTACACGTTAACCAACTTCTCCTTACACCTCTCTTTCTCCTTCCCTTTACAGTTGTGGTAATTGTCATTCTACTCTCTCTCTTCATGAGATCCACTTTTTTAGCTCCCACATATGAGTGAGAATATGCAATAACTATTTTTCTGTGCCTGGCTTATTTCACTTGATATGATCTTCACTTCCATCCATATTGCTGCAAATGACAGGATTTCATTCTTTCTTATGGCTGAATAATATTCCATTGTGTATATGTACCACATTTTCTCTGTTCATTCATTCATTGATGGGAACTGTTGGAAACTGAATTCCTCTTCAAAGGTTCTTCTTGTCCTCTATTTTCAAGGCTTAGCTTCCTTGCCTCCTTGCCGCTAGTTATGGTAAACAACATTCCAGCCATTCCCAATCTGTAATCCATATCCATTCCCAATCTGTAACCCACATCCATTCCAAATCTGTAACCCATATCCATTCCCAATTGGTAACCCACATCCATTCCCAATCTGTAATCCACATCCATTCCCAATCTGTAAACTACATAACCCACATCTGTGCCTTATTTGGCACCCTTAGTTCTGAAATTGCTCTTCCCACAGCTGTAGCCCCTACCCCTGCTTCATTGGAAGTAGCCAATCTGAATCAGCTTAGATTGTGCTGTATGACCCCAGCCAATGGGGACCAGACACAGTAGCAGGAACTGACTGCATTAGGAATAAAAACCCCTTCCCTCCTTTATTTGGTGTGCTCTCTTGCAGTGATCAGAAAACAAGCAGCACCCTTCTGCAGAGGTAAATTTGCTGTGCTGAGAAATCCTTTATGTGAATGCTCTTTTTCTTTGTAACTCCATGTTCTTATTTTAAAGAGGCCCTTAGGTTGATTATATATCTTGGCTGTTGTTCATAGTGCTGTGATAAACATGAGAGTATTGGTATCCTTTCAATATATTTATTTCCTTTCTTTTGGATATATGCAGTAGTGGGATTGCTGGATGATAAAGCAGCTCTATTTTTAGTTTTTTGAGGAACCTCCATACTATTCTCCATTGTGGTTTTACGAATTTACATTCCCACCAACAGTGTATGAGGGTTTCCCTTTCTTCACATCATTGCCAGCACCTGTTATTGCCTCTTTGATAAAAGCAACTTTATCTAGATTAAGATAGTACCTCAAATTAGTTTTGATTTGCATTTTCCTGATGATTAGTAATGTTGGGCATTTTTTTCATGTATTTATTGGCCATTGTATGTCTTCTTTTGAGAAATGTCTATTCAGGTCTTTTGCTCATTTTTTAATTAAATTATTTGTTGTTGGGTTTTTTTGCTATTGAGTTGTTTGAGCTCCTTATAAACTGGATATTAATCTCTTGTCAGATTGGTAGTTTGCAAATATTTTTTAACATTCTACAGAGTGTGTCTTCTTTCATTTGTTGATTGTTTCCTTTGCTGTGCAGAAGCTTTTTTAGCATGATGGAATCTCATTTGTCTATTTTTTGCTTTGATTGCTTGTGCTTGTGAGGTTTTACACAGATAATCTTTGCCCAGACCAATGTCCTGGAGC